CGCCCCCGCCAGGAGGGCCGAGCAAACAGGCCCCGGGCGCACACACTTGTAGCGTCATTCGGCCGGACTCGCCCGGCCCCCCCCCCCCGAGGACCGCAGGGCATGCGGGGTAAAACCACCAGCCAACGCCCTCACACGAAGACGGCAAGGCCGGGGGGGGGGGGTGGGGGGACACGGGCGCACACACCCGACAAAGGCAGGGGCCGGGCGCGGACCGGGCAGCACACCCCTGCCGGGGTGGAGGCGTCCACCCGCCAGAGGCACCAGGTTGAGGGGAATGGGCGGTTGTCACCGGCTTGTCAAAGAGTCCAGACGCCTGTGAGTCGCGCGGCTGAGTGGGAACCAAGGAGAGGGATGTCTCATCGCCCGCCCTTCCCCCCCCCCCTGGGAGGGCGGGGGAGGGGGGCAAGGGCGGACACGCGCGTCCTGATGAGAACGGGGGAAGACCGCGCTCACTCATCCCCGCTCCGCCGGGGGGGGGGGGGGGCCGCGGGTCGTGTCGCGGCACCGGCCTACGAGAGCGAAGATGCGACCGCAGCCCGCCGGCCGCGCCGGGTTTCCGCCCCACCCCCCCCCCCGCGTGCCCCCCGGGGGGGGAAGTACAAGGAGGCCGCGTTTGCGCGGCGGCCAACATTTTGGCAACAAGGCCGCATTTTTTATTCCCTGGGCTTTTTACACCTCGGAGGGCTCCGGCCCCCGGGCGCCGGCGCGCCTTTGCGAACGTGCGCCGGACCCGACACGGAAATGCCAGCGGCAGATAGTCTCGCAAGATAGATAGCCGGCTCCCGGAGCGGTCTTTGTGGCGCCCGGAGCGGGGATTAATGCGCGCGCGCGCGCGCGCGACCCATACATACGCGCCCTCGCACACACACACACACACACACACACACACACACACACACACCCACCCCGCGGCCGCCGAGAGGGCCCCGTCCGCCCCAGGCTGACATCCCGGCCGGGCTCTTTAATTTGGCCGTACCGCCGCCGCCGGTGCCGCGATCGACCCCCGCGTCCCTGCCGGGGCCGGCCAGGCCCGCGGAGCGCCGGATACCCCGCCGGCCCAGCGCTGTGTGAGCGCCGCGCGCCGGGCCCGCCCTCCCCCCCAGCCCGGTGGCGGCAGGCGGGCCCCGCGAGCCTCCGCGCGGTTCGGCGCGCCGGGGAGCCGCCCCCGCGCCGGGTGGACTGCCAGCTCTGCCGCTTCGAGCCCCGGCTGACACACCCGCAAGCGTCCTCGCTCTGTCAGGTCACGGAGATGGGTGTCGCCGGGCCCATGCCCCCCCCCCGACCCCCCCGGGCAGGGGCGCCGGTGCGGCACACGCGCGTACGCGCCACCCGCCGCCGATCGAAGCGCCCCTGTGGCTGGGGCCGCCCGGGTGCCGGCACAAGCGCCGCCTTGCCCAAGTACCGCTTGCGTCCCCCCCCCCGACCCCCCCCCCGCTCGCCCCACCAACCCAGCCGGCCTGACCCAGGGGAGAGCAGGCGGTTATGTGTCCACGCCGGACCCCGGTGGTGCGACACCCGGGCCCGCCGCAGGGGGCGGGGGATTGGGGGGGGCGATCGATCCCCGTCTCCCCCAGGCCTGGATCTCGGCAGGGTGGCGATCCGACCTCCCTCCGCCCCCGCTCGCGCCCTGCTTCCGACGCACGACCAGGCCCTGCGGGGGAGATCCCCCCTCCGCGCCCGGCGCGGGTGCGCATGTAAGCGCATGGTTCGGGCCTGGCGCCATCGGCGCGCCAAACAAGAGGCAGCAGACTCACACGGCTCGCGCTCTCCGGCCGAGCAAAATATCCCCCTCCCGTGTGTCCCGCGGCCATCTCCTCTCCCCCTCCTCCCCTCCCGCCCTCCTCTCCGCTGCCACC